TATATAAAAAATGCCGCAATAGCTACATGTGGATCTACCCTGCTCACAACAAAGGCTTGAACAGTAAACTGGAAAGTGATCTTGATTTTAGACCTGAGAAAGTCATCGAAACCATTGTCAACGTTCTACGCAAGCCTCAAATGCAGAAGGAAGAAAGCACCTTACTTTTAAACCTGGTCCTTCATTTTTCAAAAACCGTCAATTTTACCACTTATCAGAGGCTCATAGATGACTTGATACTGGTTTTGAAGGAGAAGGAACTCTCACAAGGTAAAATAGTTCCAAAGTATAAGTCTAAAATCATTTGGAAGTCATCCACCGCCATTTGCAAGGAACAGGCCTCGTCCTCAAAGGAAACTGATTTTCGATTTTACACTTCCCAGGTTTGTACTCTCTGATTTTTCAGCTTCTAAGGATACAAGGGTATAAATTAGATCAGTAAACGTTCTAAAATTCGTTGTTGTACAATGTTTAATTGAAAACGCGTCTCCTCTGGCCGTTTTTTTTTAGCCAACAGCACAACATGAAGCATCTGCTTCGAAGCAAAGAGGTCATTTATTAAGCTAGAACAGCCTTTTATCGAGGAATTCTTCATGGGCGTCTAAGTAGTTCGAGTATAAATAAAAATGTGAGATATTCCACATTTTATTGGCTGTTTCAAATTCTTAAAGATGCTCCAGATCTAGAAGTTGACAAGATATACTCTCATTAAACACTAAAGACAGGCAGAGTGTTCAAGACAAACGGTTAGAACCTAAACAAAATATTTTTGCATTCTCTCATTTCAGCGAGTTGCCCTCTTCAACGCTTACTCCGTGTCAGCCATGTGCAAAGCAGGATTTGAAGTCATAGACGTATATTCATTGACCGATTCGTATCCACCTAGATGCGTGGACCATGTTCATTACAAACCGAAAGCTTTTCATATGGTGGAGACAATGCTTGAGCAGTACAAAGTACACTACAACAAGAAACTCGACGAAAATGAAAAACATGGTAAAATAAAACGATGTGTAAGTACAGAAAACGTCTGACAGCATAGGTAGGACAGTTGGAAGGTACGTTTTTAAACTGGCACCAAGCAATTTCGGTGGAGCAAGGTTTTGAAAGCTTCAAGCAAAGTAGGAGCTAAATTGAAAGATGTAAGGAAAAAGTCAGGCATGTTTATTCGCTATTAAGTCGTCAATCGAAGAAAACTTTGTAATAGTTTTCCATTTTATTTCAATTTCCACAAATGTCACTGAAGCCGTGTATCAACTTGCTACACCTCGTCCCTTTCCCCTTTTCGCCGCCTCTGTTTCTAGTCACAGCTTCAAATGTCGTAGAAAGAATGCAGTTGTTTATCGAGGTAAAGTACAATAATAATAAAGTTGTCTCGTTTGTCTCACGATGTGGTCGCTGGTTATGTAGATCGCGACGCTTCGACTGCATACGGCTTACGTTCATCATGCAGGCGATGATGTCGACTGGCTAGGTAAGCCGTTATCCCATATACTACCAAGCTCCTCTGAGATTGGTTGCTTTTCAATGGTTTTGACTAGCGTATTTCGATCCTGGCTGTTTCGGTTAGTTGTTTACTCGGCAGTCTGCTGTCGTACGGCTCTCCTGTTGTTGTGTTTCTTGATTTCCATTCCATCATCCCAGTGTTTATAAGGTGAAATCTGATGTAAATCGCCTCCACGTGGCTCATGGAATTTTTCAACGTTACTCATAGTCTTTCCTCTATTTCGAAGCTAGAAGAGAATATACTAAATGAAGAAGAACCAAAATATCCTTCCCAAATCTCTGTCCGTAAACCATCGCTGCCATTGTTCTTCAACGAAAGGGAAATAAGAATGATTCGTTGAGGGTATTCTTACTAGCTTATAAGAACGCATTTCCACTCTGAATTCTCCTTTTAATTTCATTGGTTTCCAGCAGGTTAATGCCACACCAGATATCACAGAGCTGTTCCCGACTCTCCTTATCTCTTTATATAAGGCCTTGAAAAAAACAAAAACGAAAAACAAAACAAAACAAAACAAAAGCAGAAAAAAATACATAACACGAATCGTCTTAGCAAACTGGACAAAATAAAATATTAAATGTTATTAGATTTTTTCTGAGTTCTAACCCATTCGGGATTGCCAACTATTTTCTTAATTAGCATAAGTCGACCAGTACTAACGCTATGAACAACAAAGTACTTGTCTGATTGTGTCCTTCACTGCACGTCCCACTTCCTTAATCTTCCAACCGTAAAGTATTGGATTTAATGATGAATTGGAGAAAGCTAAGGTACCAGTAAACTGCATAACAAGGACGGCAACAGGAGATAGTCGACTACGAGTGAGTACAGCTTCCGCTATACCTTGTGGCAGACAACAAATAATTAATGTCAGCTGCAACCACAACGCACTGGATACTGCCTTTCGGTAACGAGTTATATTCAATGGAATTATTTGGCTTGGACCTTGAACCTGATGGCGATGGAGGGCAGGAAATATCTTTGTGTAAGATATGATCGATAGTGCTACACAGTGATACTATCATATAGCCATAGGATAACGTTACCAGATAGTTAACAAAGTACATATCGTAGCAGCGAAACTGGACATGACCCAAAAGCTTATCACAAATAGAAACATTCGCTTCAAAGTTACAACTTGTCTGTAGGGCGAAAAGTCTGTCCACGCTTACTGCAGACAATGTCGGAAAAGACACTCCACACAAAACGGATCCTGCAAAAAGAAACAAATGTATCGAGACAAATATCCCATCGCTCGTACAGTAGACTTATCTCATAGCAAGCATAGATAAGCTACATACATACATATACATACATACATTTTATTTGTTATCAAATTAAAATAACAATTGTAACATGCCCGCGGATAGCTGAGCTAATCTAGGCGGGTCATGTTTGGACGAGTTATTAATATACAGCNACAACAGTTACGACGAGAGACTACAGATACACTAAAGCGAAATTATTGAGTATTAATGAATACATACTAGGAGGAAAATAAATTCAGCTTTACTTTTTGCACGAGCTGTGCAATAAGAGCAACAAAGAGATCAGTTATTGCCGGACAACGTAACAAAAGTTTTGATGGCGAATGAAGCGAAGACAAACAATTAGATTATTTCCTCTCGATTTCTATCTGTGATATCACGCGATAGAAATCTCGAGCTCATAATCTAATTGCATGATATTATTGACTTGAATTCACTGAACTGAATGTATACTGCCTCTTAAAAATAATGGGTTCGTGCTTTTTCTCGTGTTGCTTCCGTAAATAATGTCTTCCATTCCCTGAAACGTCAAATGTATGAATATATTTGAACAAGCCAATGGCTTAAGTTAAAATGTCAGTGGTTTGTGAAAACTGCCTCTTTTCTCGCAATAAAGTAAATATTGCTTCTAATTTCAGACTTACCTGTTTACATAATTTTGGACTTAAAATTGAACTCAATTGAAACTGTGCCAAAACTCCAACAACCCCCCGGGGTGGGGTACTCCCTTTTATGGGCTATATAGGTATGTGCAGCCCCAAGGGTATGGTTTTTCTCCCCTTTTTAGTCACAAATAGGGTATCGATTTTAGCTGATTTTGGCCACATTGGTTTTTGCACTCTAGACTTGATATGGGTTTGTTCTTAAGGAGAAGTCACGTTTTCATCATGATCGAGAAGAAAATCAACAAAAGCCCTTGACAAATTATGTTTACGGTAATTTAACATTGGTCTGAACTAGGGAACCAGTTATAACGAAGGTCTAAAACAGGGTTTTGATTTAAGGCTCAGGTCATAAATAGGGTTTCGAATGGTCAGGTCATAAATAGGGTGGGGAATATCGCAGATTTTGGTCATAAATAGGGTAAGGGTTTTGGGAAGCGGGCCGCACACCCCCATCCAATTTTTCTGGGAGTACCCCCCGGGCAACAACCAAGACCTTCTGTAACTAAATTTAACCCAGACATCACAGAAATCACCATAGATGTTCTCGTTTTGGTTCTTTTCACCGATTTTGATTGCGGTAAAAGATCATAGCAGTTAGCTAGGACTATCACGTACTGAAATGATATTATATAAATCGCTCTTTTGGCATTTAAATTGTGACGTTGGTCATTTGACAAGCAGATATTGGTACGCTGTTTAATCCCTTGCACCAACCAGAAATTCTCCATAAATGTCTGTTATCCCCCTCAATTGAAATGAGAGAACGTTTGGCCGAAACACTCTCCCAACTATTGAAGAGGTTTCCCTTATTATTTACACTGCACGCTTTTAATAAATTAATGGTGGATATATGTTTTGCCACTAGTGAGCTCTGTTAGGTTGTTTTCTCACAGTTCTAAAGTTGTATATGGAGAAAAATTATTGACAAAGATAAATGATAGAAAAATCATTTAACAAGCAGATGGTTTACTGCAGAAAGAACATGGTTAATTTTGAAGAAGGTTAATTAGTTTCCTTGAACCAAGGAAGAACCGTTCAGTGCAGTACGAACGCGTTCTGTGGTTTTTTCGGCTCACCTGTCGGCGATTGTCGTAACAGTGTCAAGTAAGTTAGTCGGTAACAGTTGTTTAGGTTTGTCAAGTTGTTGTTGTAGTTTATTGTTGCAGTAGACTGCAACAAGAACGAAAACTGACAAGACTTCAACGCAATAAAGACAAAAAACGACCTAAAACTGAGGATAACTGGGTCAGGAATATTTCTTCCTTTCCCTTAGACAAAACCGAGACTCACGTACTGTCTTACGGACTAAAACACTCAGTGACGCCTAAACGGATTCCGACCGAGTCTATTGTATCTAGTGTTGAGACGGTTCTGTCTCGTCAGCGAGACTTATCAGTCTCTTCCAAGGATAACATCAGAAGCAGAACTGCTTCCATGGTACAATCAGCCCCTATACCTGACAATAACTTGACAAAAGACGAACAACAAGCACTGAAACGACTGAAAAACGACAACAACATTGTTATACTACCAGCCGACAAAGGACGTGTCACTGTTGTTATAGACAAGACTGACTACTTTGATGGGGACATCGGGGGGTTCCAAACACCGCAACACCGCAAAAAAATTAACGAACACCGCATCACCGCAAGAAAAGTCAATGAAACACCGTCACCGCAACACGTATTTTTAGCGCCATGAGTCGTTCATTGACACTTAAAATAATACTTTTTATACCTCAACAATTTTCCACAAAATAAACACATTGTTTCTGTCCTCGCTCCTCCACGTGTCTACCGAACACTAAGCTCCGGGTGACAGAGGTCGAATTACTTGTCAAGTTACGTATAAATGAAAACAGCTTCGGATTGGCAGCCGAAGCATATTGAAGATTGACTAGAAAGTGATGATGTGTATTTTTTTTTATAAGTTATTAACCTCAATGGTACGTGTTTGTCATGAATTAGCTTCGATTAAGGAAGTTTACATGCTAAATTTAGGTCAAATTTAGGTTTGAGAAAGGTAAATCAAAAAATCCCAGCAACGCAAACAATTTCATTTCACCGGACACCGCAGCGCGAAAAACACAAACATCGCACACCGTAGGGTTTGAGATCACCGCAACACCGCAAGTTGAGATTTTATTCACCGCATCACCGTATTAAAAAAACATCAACACCGCAACACCGCAAATCCCCATGTCCCCTTCTACTTTGACAAAATGATGGACGCACTTGTTAACGACAAACAAACTTACGAAGAACTTAAACGCGACCCGACGCCATCACTTCAACGTAAACAGCAAAATACTTACGCTTAAAAAGACTGACGCTATTGCCACTCAGCGCTACTACCGACTGAGGTGCTCAGTACCTCAACCACCGAAACTTTACGGACTACCGAAACTACACAAACCTGGTATACCGATGCGACCTATAGTTTCTTTCTGTGGGTCCCCTACGTATCAACTGTCTAAGTACTTGACGACAATGCTGCAACCCCTTACTGACAAATCAAGACGCAAACTACAATCATTTACGGAGAACTTTATTGACGCTGTTAAGACGGTACAGATACCTGACGACTACAAACTTTTGTCTTTTGATGTGAAATCACTGTTCACCAGTATTCCAGATCAATTGGCATTACAGTGTACCGACACCACAATCAACAATCTACTGTTAAACTACCGTTACCGACAGAAGACATCGTGGACTTACTGAACCTTTGCCTTACATTGACTTACTTTCAGTGTACGGTAAACACTACAAACAGTTGCATGGAATAGCCATGGGGTCGCCTGTTTCTGTTGTTGTCGCAGAAATTGTGATG